CAGGGTTACAGGGCAACACAACTCGCCCCAGCTCCGACCAGCATCATCCCAGCAGCAACCCTTGGTCGTCCCTTGGGATGCCCACCCCGAAGCATCCACAATAAACAACTCCGCAAAAGAAGGGTGACTGGAGCAGACTGTTTTGTCAGAGTATCCCCGTCTCATAAGGAGATCCAACCCCGATAAAATCTGTCCAGGATGCATTTGACTGTTGTTAGATAAGGAGGTATTAAGGACTCACCGCGTCACCCAGATTTAGCGATACCCCTGAGAAAAGTGGTTGATTTCACTCAGGCCGACCCTCCAACAGTGTGCGTATGTGCGTTCTAAATTGTCGCCACAACGGCCCCTTTTCCACAGAGATGAGTAGGTTGAAAATTGAAGCAGTTTCACCTCTATAGTGGACAACGAAGCACACTATAGCACACACTGTAGACGAGCAAATCTTTTTACCCCTATAGCACAAGTATTAATACAATGCCTTTCCCTTGTACGGTCCTTCCTTCGCTATCTTTACTTTGGCTTCCTTTGGGGTACACTCCTTTTCTTTCTTCTTGCAGTTCCCTTTTACTGTGGCTCTAACGTACAAGGCTTGCCGCGTTGATTGTGGTTGAGCGCCGACCGCAATTGCATAGCCTACCGCATTTGTATAGGCATTATTGCCGCTCCAGCCCGCCTACAAGTAGGGCATGACATGTCAAGGTGCCGCACATGAGCGCAATGGTGACTGTCATCACAGGTATAAAAACAGTACTTGCATGGGCTATGCCTTTCATAGTCCTGGCGACACAAAGCATGTGAATCACATGCTAGCCGAATCTCACGTGGCCCATCACAGAGCAGAACACGTTTCTTGGCCAGGCGACAACGGGGCCTGATCCAAAGTTAGGGTGTTTGGCTGTTTCAAGATCTGGTCTGCAACAGCTCCCCCTGGCAGCAATAACATTTCAGTAGGTGGTTCACCCTAAGAGTCTATTTTCCACCTCAGGCTCCTGTGTCTGTTGCTGGTCTGGCTTAGGATGAAGGAGATCCAACCACAGGTACAGCTGTTGTATGCCCAAAGCTGCATGTGGGACATGCTAGGAGAGGATGTGGCGGGTTATGCCATCGGGGATAATCCACACTGTACAGCCGCATACTTTCCATGACATGACAGCTTCCTGGAAACATCGACGACGCATGGCATGTTGCTGACATGCCACCATGTAAGCAGGCTGAAGTTCGCAGCTATTTAAGCATGACATGTCAAGTGTGTGTGGCACTGTGTGTATGTGTTGTCATGTTCCCTACACACAACTCCACAGAAAAAGCACGACTGTTCTGTTCCAAACTGCTTTGTCAGACTTTCACTGACTCATCATGAGGCCGAAGCCCGACAGTCTGCTGAGGCTGCATTTGACTGTTGTTAGATAAGGACTCACCGTGTCGCCGAGAGCTTGCTATACGCCTGAGAAAAGCGGTCGACTTTACTCACACCCACCCTGCAACCCTGTGCCTATGTGTGTATGTGTATGTGTGTATGTGTGTATGTGTATGCGTGTGTGAGTGAAGGACACTTTGACATAGATCGCTCTCTGTGCACTCGAGGGCAGAACAGTCCACAATTGACCAGAGAACACAAGGGCTTTGCCTTAGTGATAGTCTCACCTGCTGGCTAGACGACCGCAAATTCCTCTCCCGGGCCCAATGACCGTAAAACGACAGGCATACATGGGAGTGAAAAGGGGTTGGCTCGTAACTTGATGATGAAGTAATCGTGTTGGATTTATTGAATTTGATGCACACACGCATACACACCGATCAGAACGCTCACATACTTGATTGTAAAGCTCAACGATCCCTTCTCCGCAGAAAACGGCATGCAGAAAGAAAGCTTCCACAAAAACCAGCCCACCTAGGTACCCAACCTTCCCAATCCTCGTTTACGAGAGGACAGTGAAAACAATTGAAAACGATTGGGCATCGGCGAAGTATAGGGCAGATGCACTAGGGCTCTGCCCAAAGCTCTCTCCTTGCCGAGCAAGTTCGTGACACTGGTTCCCACCGTGTACTGAGTGCAAAAAGCCACCGATGGGGAATGCTATTTTGGTACAACAAGCAATCCAGCCCGATACCTCTTCTGTCTACAGCCTTGCATACCGGTAGAGTTATCGGGCTGGATAACTCTTATGTCCACAGCCTTGCATACACCTAGAACGTACTACAGGTAGCCTAACAAAAAATTACCCACCTGGGTTTGAACCCCAGCAGCAAATACTAACTAAATAGTAAAAACCACAAGACCAAGATACTTCAGGGCGCGGGATCCATTGAATCCCCGTGCCAACAAGTCGAACCAGCAGCACAAAAAATGGGCTCTGTTAACAACAGGCACAATAGGTGTGCATTGATTTGGGGCACGTCAGCTAAATCAAGGCCATCAAACTAAAAAATTAAACCACCAGTACTTCCTAAACTCGTGCCCGTTAACAAGCCACGATCTTAGGAAACGTACGGGCCACTACAGGAGTGACCACATTCATCTGACTACGAACGTAGACCGGTCAACGAGAAACTAGATGAAAACAGAAGAAACAACAGTCCATTACAAACCGGAGTTACGTGAGGAGAGGTGGGAGGCACTGAGCTCCCTTGTCCCAAAATGTGTCTTTTTGCACTGAGCTCCCTTGTCTCAAAACAGTACATTTTGGGAAGATCTATCCACATGCTCGAACTCACAAAACTACATAGCCCCAAATCAAGCTGAATTAACAGTTAACAGCTTGGAGATTGCTGAGGCTAACGGAAAAAAATAGATGACAACAGANGACACTACATAGCCCCAAATCAAGCTGAATTAACAGTTAACAGCTTGGAGATTGCTGAGGCTAACGGAAAAAAATAGATGACAACAGAAGACACAACAGTCCATTACAAACTGTACGTTTGTGAGAAGAGGTGGGAGGCCCTCCGCCCTCCGCCGGCCAAAAGACACATCCCCACAGAACTCAACCTTCCGAAAAAACAACTGCACCACTCTCAGGAAGGCTACACCAGAGCCATCACGGAGCTCCTTTTTTTTTTTTTTCGTTTTTTTTTGTTTTGTTTTGTTTTGTTTTGTTGTTGTTGTTGTTGTTGTTGTTGTGGTGGTGGTGGTGGTGGTGGTGGTTTTTTAAGGATCTTTTTCCGTGGTCTGACTGGGCTGGGGAAGGGGGAAGGAAAAGAGGAGGGCGGCCAGGGGGTGGGCTCTTCAGGTGTGCGACAGGGTTAGCCGCCTTCAAGCCGCAGGGGGTCGTCTTCAAGGGGGGATCGGATCGGTAATTTATGGACTGTAGGAGGAGGAGGAGGAGGAGGAGAGGAAATGGAGGCCCTTTTATTGGCATTCTTCGTTGTTGTGTTCATTTCCGTTAAACTTTATGGGATTTCATTTTATATTACAGAAAAAAAGAGAGGAGAAAGTCGCTCTTGACCATTGGACTAATAATAATGCGAGGCAGGCATAAAGAGCTCCCTTGTCACATTGTCGCCACCCCCCCCAAGGCCCAAGGCCCAGATCAACCCTACAGTAATGAGAGAGACTTCAATTAATTGTGGGAGGGAGGAGAAGTGCGTTGCCGTGCAACTCAGACTTCCACCTTGCAAAACTGGTCATTTTTGTTTACTCCCAACTGTCAGACCTAAGATACCCCCCCCTTCTCCGCTTCAATTAAACCCTAAAATAAACCCTGTCGACAGGGTTTGGACAAATTTTGGGCTCTACAAAACAAAACTGACGGGGTTCCGACTCTCAGGTCACGTCAGGTGAGCCGCGTGTCCCCCCGACCTAAAGAGAGAGTTGAAAGCACCCAAAAAAAGGAGCCCAGCTCAGCTCCTTGGTACACCCATGAACTGCTGAATTACAGATTACAGACCCAAGTTCGCATCCTAATGGACCTAGATGAATGCAACGAAATAATCCCCAGGGGCAGTTAACCCGATGATGATGATATCGCAAGACCCTTGCCTTTTTCAAGGGCTACCAGAGTGGCCCGGGGTCACTTGCCCGGCCGGGCAAAAAAAAAATAAAAACTAAATATTAACTAGGCTACCAGAGTGGCCCGGGGTCACTTGCCCGGCCGGGCCAAAATAATTAAAAAAAATAAAAATAAATAAAATATTTTTTAATTTTATTTTTTATTCTAAATTTGGTGAAGAATTTCGATGTGACCCTGAGGCAAAAGTTGTTCAGTTTATTTTTCTGCATAACATAGTTTGTTTTCAGAATTTTTTGATTTTTTTTTTTTTTTTTTTTTGCTGGGACCTTACCTGATCCTTGCACCGTTGCACGGGCTGGCTACCCGGGACCCGGACGGCCCGGCTGGTAGCCTAGAAAATTAAAAAAATATAGTTTTTTATTTTAATTTTTATTCTACATTTGGTGAAGAATTTCGATGTGACCCTGAGGCAAAAGCTGTTCAGTTTATTTTTCTGCAAAAAATCCACCCGGGACCCGGGACCCGGACGGCCCGGCTGGTAGCCTAGGAGCCCAGCTAATTTGCATCCACAACTCTGTGAGCCACACTCTTCGTAAAAGGGTGAGGTAGTGTGACCATAGTAAACTAGCCTATCCATGCTAAACCAGTCTAACCCGAGTACAACCATGCTCAGACAAAGTTTTAACCTTGGTGAGACAACTTTACCACGGTAAAATTAATGTAACCAGTGTGACCACAATGATGAGCCGGGCATTCGGGATTGAGTTGGAATGCTTCGGAGACTTGTGACCGTTTTCTCCTTAAACCACCAGTACTTGCTTGGCCCAGTTATCAGCCGCAGAAAAAAAAAAGAGTAGAAACGTTTCTAGTCGGATGAATTTGGTCGTTCCTGTAGTGGCCCGTACGTTTCCTAAAATTGTGGCTTGTTAACGGGGACGACTTTAGCAAGTACTACTACTGGTGGTTTAAAACAAGAGGCGGTTAACAGAGCCCTAAATTTTTGGACAACGCGAGGTGAAAACGATTTCACTCTCGCTGCCAGTAGCAAAAACAGGCAGATGTTTGTTGTTCACAACCCACAGGAGGAGACGGCGGCAGAACGTGAACAAAGAAGGCACACGCAGGCGAGGGGGCGGGAAACTATGACGAGGAAGAGAAAGGATAAATCCTGATCACAGAAGTATGGATGGAATTGACCTAATGACCTAAAGCGAGGTGCAAGCTAGGGGGGAGGGAGGGGGAGAAAGGGGAAAAGGGGAGGGAGTGGGGCCGTGGTGAGGAATAAAGGGGGGAATGCTAGGGATGCCAGGGAAAACACAGAGAGAGAGAGAGAGCGAACGAGAAAACACGAGAGAGAAAACGAGGGGAAGAGGGGTGAAAAGAGTAGGAAACAACGAGAAAAAATTTACAAAGAAAATCCTAATACTATATTTCCAGAAGAAGAAAACAGAGAAAGGATACACATATATATATATAGAGAGAGAGAGAGAGAAGGAGAGGAGGGAAGATTTTTTTCCCCGACCTGAAGGATGCAGGAGAGCGGCCAGGACACGAAAATGAAAACACGCGATAACGACGACCAAAAAAAGACTTTCGTCATTCAAATTATTTCCAAGCTTTCTTCCCCTTGAACTGTTTTGCGGCAATGCCGGCTCTCCTTTTCCTACCCGCTGACCTCACCTTCGCCTTTTCCCACTGCGCTGCCAGAGGCAGCACCTTCTTCCTCTGCTTCTCTCTGTTACTCGTTCCTCCTGTTTTCTGCTTCTTTCGAGCAACAGAGGAGCTGAAGTCTTCCCTACCTTCTCTCCCTGCCATCACACTGGCCATCCTCTCCTCCTTCTCTCTCCTCCTCTTTATCTTCGCCTCTAGATCTGCCGGATTCACTCTTTTCTCGTTGATGTTTTCACGATTATACCGTTTCATCAGAGGAACCTCCAAGCTTTTCCTTCTCTCCGCTGTGGCAGGATTTTGCTTCTTTATCCCGTGTTTCGCCATAGCCGCGTCCAACGCCTGCTTCGTTTGCAATTCTCTTATCCTTTTGAAATCCTCGTTAGATAGAAACCCATCATCATTTACCAAATTAAGCAGTTCTGTTTCTGCATTGATGTTCTTCTTCTCTTCATCTTCCTTCGCTTTCTTTTCCGCAGCAAGTCGCTTCAGAGTTCTCAGGCTCATGTCCATCGTGACGTCCTCCATCTTCTTCTTCTTCGTTTCCCTTTCATGTCCATTTTCCACACCCTTCTTTCTCCCACCACTCCTCGTCTCTTCGGTAGCTATCCTTCCTCCTCCTTCCCTGCGCGATCCGTCGCACCCCTGCTCCTCGATGGCGGCGGTCGTGATCGCATCGTCTTCTTCTTCCTCTTCTTCTTCTTCTTCTTCTTCTTCTTCTTCTTCTTCTTCTTGTCCCTCCTTTTCCCCTTTTCTTTGCTCTCTAATACCACCTCTATTCGACTCCTCCATCTCCTCTTTCTCTTCTTCATCTTCCTCGTCTTCTTGATCTTCCTCGTCGTCATCATCTTCTTCGTCGTCTTCTTCGCCATCACTGGAACTTACACGCTCGCTCCCACTGTCATCCTCGCCCTCTGCTGCACGACCTTCTCCCTCCTCTTCTTCTACCATTGACCCCTCGCCATCGCCGTTCTCTACTTCTTCTTCTTCTTCCTCTGAGTCGTGCACGTCGTCATCACCCTCGTCGTCGTCCTCCTCGTCGTCCTCACGCTGACGAAGCAACAGATCTAGTCCTGGAACACCCTCGGCTATGGTGGTATCCCCAAACTCTAAGGGTTTGGCACTCAGATCAGCGCCACGTCCTCGGTCCTTCTTTTCCAACAGCGATGGCTTCAGCTCCCGGAAGAGCGCGATGATGCCACGTGCCGCGCTGGATACGGCCTTCTGCCGCTCCTTCTTGTACAAAGCTAAGTCTCGCAAAAGATCTTCCGTCATTATCAGTGGCATCCTCAAGCACATATCTCGAACGGTGTTCAATCCAACGGCAATCACTTCTGGTCTCGCTCGATCGTGGACGAACTGATTCACCACCTGCTTGAGCAAGGGCTCAACGGCATCGGGCGGAACCTGTTCATGGCAGGCCTGAATAGCGGCCGCGAGAAGACGGGTAACATCACGTTGATGAGGTTGCACATAGCGCTGCAAGTAGGGGTAGAAGTTAAGAAGGGAGAGTTTATGCGTACCTACGACTCGAGAAATGACGCTCATCATCATCAACTTCACCTCGAATCGCTCGTTACTCGACTTCAGGCGGGCAAACAGCTTTTCGGCAAAACCCTGCGGATCGTTCAGCAGCTGAATGGCAGTGAAACTCGCGCCACCATCACCGGCCTTGCATTTCTGAGACCTTTTCATACTTCTCATCACTCGCTTAAGCTTCGCCTGCTTCTTCTTCTTACTCCGCGTCGCGCCCGCGTGATACGCCTTGTAAATGTCCTCCTTATTCGCACCAACAGCGCCGCCGCCGCCGCCGCCGCCATCCCCATCTTCGTCGTCATCGTCGTCGTCGTCGTCCTCATCATCCCCCCCTTCACCCTCTTCGTCATTCACCAAGAAGAACTTCAGCGCTGCCACTAAGATTCGTCCTTGTTTGTGAAAACACGCCGTCGATATCACATTGACAGTCCGCGAATCCCTCCACACATTGCGGCGATGGAGCTCGATCAAGACGGCGAGCGACTTTTTGGCAGCAACCTCGTTCTCGTCGAGCACCATGTCGTAAAGAAAATTCTGAAGGGGACGATTGAATTGGACGTTGTTGTGTTTCTTGTTGCCGCGTCGGATATCGTTAACGATGTGCGAGTACAAGAGCTGACGAAGAGATTTGTCGGGGCAGCGAAAGAGGTGAAAGCAGAGGGGCAGAAGAGTGGAAGAGGAGATGACCTGCCGATTGCGCAGGAGAATCAGCGCCTGGGCAAGCGTCTTGCGTAAGGAGGGATTAAGAACGTTGCTATGTGTTCGGAGGAGAGTCATCAACTCCTGAGGGAATGCGGCTGTCTGCTTCTTGAAGTTGGTGGCCACCTGCGCGATGAATGTGACTAGCTCACCGAATTCCTCGGCCTCAGCCGTCGGCTTCAGAGAGAAGATGGACAGACGAGACTGGTAATGACGATAATGAACCAGAAACTCATCTAGATACCCCTCCGGATCCCGCTTGATCTTACCCTGCAGACTCAAAAGATCAGCCGCCCCCATCTCCACCGACAACTAGATGGTTTCACAGCTGTTGCTCCCCGCCAATAGCTCCTCACCACGACCTGACACGCTGCCTGGTTTTACTCCTGCTGCTGCTATTACTGGTGGAGGTGATGGTGGAGGCAGACTGGCTGGCTAGTCCTACTGCTACTGCTGCTGCTGTTTGGTTGGGCCGGCATTTGACTAATGTTGACTAATGAGCCAAAAACACATATGTTCAGTGGCGTCGGGAACGGGAACGGGATGGGCAGGAGATCAACAGTAGAAGCAGAACCAGAGATGACAAGAAGAAAACCGGAAAAAGGGGCAAGAATCACGGACAGAAGCAGATTCCCCGAGGACCGAGGAAGGAGTAAAGTACAGAGAGGTCGACGATGAAGAGAAGAGGAGGGGAGAAGAGGGAGTGAAAATAGAAGAGGACGGGTTACGTCGGGGAGAGAGAGAGAGAGAGAGAGAGAGAGAGAGAGAGAGAGAGAGAGAGAGAGAGAGAGAGGGAGGACAGAAAAAGACTACAGTAGCAAGTCAAATATGGAGAGACGAAAGTTTCGACTGCGATGGGCAGCGATGGGCGGCGATGAGCGCAGACGATTTCTCGTGCCACGTGTTGCCGTTCTTCGGATCGCTGCTTGAGCATTTGCTGTCGCAAAGGAGATTGACATGACGAGTGTATACAAAGGATATTCCCTTTTATTTTATCTGCTGTTGTTTCTGACGCAGTTGCATTGTACAACCTTGACGGCGACTGAATACATAAGAAGAAAGGGGATGGAGCTATACCAAAAAAGGACCAGCCCCTCCGGGCCAACGGACGATTGGCTCACGCTAGATCCCGCAGATGCACGTGGAAAAGAGAAACATTGGACGTAGCGTCCGTTGTCGATCTCACGGCCATAGCCCTGACGGCCGGTGGTGGATGGCTAAAAGCCGGGGGAAGGGGGGGGCTGGCTTTCGGAAGTTCCACACCAATGCCCGTCGGGCGCCGCCCGCTCTGGCCGTCTTGCTGGTGTGGAATCCCATCTCCTTGCACCGCCCAATTGGACTTTTCCCGGGCTGCCTTTTGAGGCCACACACCGTGAAGGCGGGGCAACAAATAAAGTAGATGAAATTGCATATGTACCCCATTTATCGACGAGAGTTCCTGCAATACCCCGTCCCAGCGCCCAACTTGCATCTACACCCAGACCCTTTCCAACCTTACTTTTCTATCCACCCAGTCCCACGCGCACTTGGTTAGGGAGCACAAAATTATGCTCACGCCCAGGAACCGGGCAGGCAAAATTGGGTATGCACACAATTTGCCTGGGCACGTGCATAATTTGACCTGTCTGCAGATGGGTAATCATGAGAGCAGCATCATATCACTAACCCGGTCACAATTCGAAGCATACCCGTGATGCTCGTCTGGCAGCCGCGCCACATTGGCTTGGATGTACGCATGCGCCTATAGAAAGAAACCTCGTACGTCGTTGACCACGCCAATGAACCCAATCCACTGCGTCGGTGTGTTGTCGAAAACCATCGATAACCACTCC